GAGACATGGGAAATCTGCCTCGCACAAAGGCAGCGTTGTGCCTCCCTGGAGCTTCCTTTAGGGGCCTGCATGTGTGTGTGTATGCCTGTGTTTGTCTGTGACAAGGATGAACAGGAGTTTACCTTCTCAGGCCCCCCCACCCTCCAGAAGGTTCTTAGAACGCAAACACACACACACTCCAAAATGTTCCTCCAAAATGCCAAGGACATTGCCAACTAGGCGTCTTATTCTTGTGGTAGCTGACTTTCAAACTCTGCACCTATAAGCCTCTTACTGAACACAAAAAGGTGTGTGACAATTTAGGAAACCTTGGATTTGTTCAGCTGAAGTCGGGCATTTTTAAGTGTTGTGAATTTGGGGCAAATAGTTCATTTTATGGTTTGAGTACCAGTGTGTGTTTCTACGTGTGCATCAGTGACAGACCTTCATCCTGAGTCTGGGTCAGCAGTTTGTTTAGCATCAATTAGAGGCTCTGTGTTCCTCAACGCAAGCGTGAAGGGAGAATTAACGTGCAGTGGCACATTCCCACCAGCGCATTATAACACACGGCACCTCAGCTGGAACAGCATGTTTGTGCATGCGCGTGTCTTTATACTCACATGTGCACGCACATATGAGTGTGCACAGGTAAATGATTCAAGTTCAGAAAGTCCTTTTTTTTTTTTTTTTTTTCTCCTCCTCTGCGCTCTTCTTACTTTCCTCTCCTCACTTTCAAGGACTATGGTCTGGCCACAGCCATTTCCCTTAGCCTCTGCTTTGCCTAGCAACTCACAGCACATAGTTTCCATAGAACATGCATTTATGGGAGAGAAGATATATAGATACTGGAGGAAGACTCTTGTAAAGACAACTGGGTCTAAAGATGTTCTGTCCACTAAGACAAAGTCTGAAAAACACATGTTCAGTGGCTTTTGTGCAGACTTCTTTCTTAACGGCATGTAGAAGAAGTCTAAAGATGGCATGGAGCTGGAACGGGGCTAATATTATCCTGACAGAAACAATAAATACAGGGCATGGTTATGAAAAATGAAACGCCAATGTATTTACTTTGCCTTGTGGTGGTGGGTTATGTTTTTATTGTTATGGTTTTGGTCCAGTCTTTACACAAAGACTAATCGTTGCTTAACAGAATGATTCAAAGTGATTATAACTTCAACCATCTATCCTTTGGAAGCTAGTAAAAGAGGTCCTTCGAGACATTGCATTAACAGCCCAATTCCCACTAGTGCTTAAAAAGCTTTTTGGTCTTTAAAACCATATATTAATGCATTTTAATTTAATAATTAATTAATGAATGCATGTTGTTTCAACAACACAGAGACAGAAAGTAAAGAAAGAAAGTTCTGCCGAACCCATTTGATTTTTAATTAAATAACTCAAACAGCAAGCGAGCCAGTTGCAACCTGTTGGTTTTCCGTTACTCGAAGCTTACAAGACAAGGACAAAGTAATCCCTGTGGTGCATGGTATTAAGTCTATTTTGCAGATGTAATATTTGAACCCAAATGTAATAGTCACATTGCTTATTCTGCAACATTATTCAAATGAAAGTGCACTGGCCCCAAATGCCCAGAAGTTCTGTTGGGTTTGGGCCAGGCTGCAGATCCTGTTTAGATAGTACAATATGGTTGTATTATATTATTATGTTATTTAGCACCTCTTGCTATTGCAGAGTCAGTGTTGTGCTCCTCAAATACATAAGAACAACACATCCAGAGGAATCTTTTTCTTTGATAACATTTTCCAAGAAGGATATGCATCATTCATGATCATTCAAGATTATTATGTTAGAAGTGATTAGAACATGCCTAACCCTTTTAGGGATTATTGGATTGAATTCATGCCAGAATATGTACCACACACAGACACACACACCATTACCAGAATCCTTTAGTTTGTATGTATCTTTTTTCTACTTGATTACATCCTATGAATGAATATGGAATGTAGTTTAATTTATTTTGTGCCCCCTTAATGTTCTTTGATGGGGGATGGGATGTCAGTGGGCCAAGAGGAAGGTTTCATGGCTTTGCCAAGGTATGCCCTCCTCCCTCTCTCTCATGTGGAGTAAGGCTCTATACTCGCTTGTAAATAGTGAGATAAGTGTGGTTTACCCGTAGCTAAGGTGTAAGGTGCACCCAGCACCGCCCTGACATGTCTGTGCCAGAGCCCAACAGGGGTGTAATTACCTGAGACTGGGTCAGCACTTTATCCTGGGTAAAAATACCTGCCTACTTATAGAAGGGCAATAGAGGGGGCAGCTCATGCAAGGGGAAGCCTGTCTTCACACATCCTCTGAGAGAACTGTTTCTCTATGTTAGGCAATGTTCTCGTATTTTCTTCACTACTGCTTTAGAAAAGACACTTAAATATCTGTAATGGGGTCTCCTAGACAAATCCTTTCCATCTTCTTTTTCTGATTTACATGTCTGCGACGGACTGACCCACAAAACACTTTAACACACGTCCAATATTCCACTCTCTGCCTCCAACTGCAGCCGACTTTCAGTCCAGTACCTTTCCGCACTCTCTGTATTCCCCTTCTCCGCCCCTTTCACACCACATCTGTCTCTCTGCCCTCCGAGTCAAGGACAGAGAGGGCCAAGCAGACATGCAGAGGACAGCTCTGCACCAATCAGGAGACAGAGAAGGCTTGTGTCAATTAAATGGTATGTGCTTATGCCGCAAATCACAGACACATGTTCCCTTCTCCCCTCCCACCCTGTGGCTGTTGCCTCTCTTCTCCACCACCTAATGCAGCGTAATCATCCTCATTACCTAATGAGACCTTACTGTACACACACTCTCTCCCTCTCTATCCTCCCCTTACACATGTGTATAAAAGGCGGCCACATCCTCACACAGAATGGTATAGTTATGCAATACACAACCATCTGAACCTCTACTACACTATCCAACAGAGGGTCTCTCATTGCCACAACACTGTAAAGCCTCTAATGCCACAGTAATACTATTGTAGTGTGTATTATCAACAGGATAGTGAGCACGGAATTAGGCAGGCAGCTGGGGAGGGGAGAACCCCCTCATTAGCTCCCTTCAATGTATCTACTTCTCCTAATCGCTTACAATAACATAATCTCTTTAAAAGTGCTGCAGCTTAAATCCAATCTGCCTAAAACCTGACACGTGATTGAGGTCAATCCTCAGTAAACCCCAAACTGTGGGGTCCCAATAACTCCATGCACAACCCCCACCCATCTGAGCTACAGTACAGTACGCAAGTATTACTTGTATGCTTTGCACTGGGCAGAGTGCTGCACAGACTTTACGTACAGTATTTATTTCACTGATTCAAACACTTATCTGAGTCAGACGAAGCCCTGCCTTCTGCCTGCCTGTGCCTCTGATCCCAGAGCAGTTTGTATCCTCTGTATACTCTGGTAGTAGAGCGCGGTTCTGCTCTTTTTATTTTTTGATGTTTTTCCATAGTGTCTCTTGCCTCCAAACCACTTACAGATGTTGGCAGCGGGGAGCGTTGTGGCAACTCCAAACGAGGAAATCTAAATAGAGATCAGGCTGTAAAAAATAAAAAAGAAGGCCAGGAGAAAGAGAAAACAAGGGGAAAGCTAGAGAGCAAATGCAAGAATGGGGTGAGCATTTGTGTGGAATTAGCAGAGAGGAAATAAATATATACTTTCTGTGCATGTAAGAACACTGATTTTATTTGAAGGCAACTTTTATTGTTTTGTCAGTAAAACTTGGGTTCAAACTCTTTATTTGGTTTTTCAATCCAGAGTTTCATCCTCTGATTAATTTCCCAAAGAACAAACAAATATAAGCAAACATACAATTGTCTTGTGAGATATCTGTGATCTTGAGAAGGAAAATAAAAGACACATCCTCTAACAGGAATAGATGTGCTTTTACAGTTAGGTTTCCCTTTTTTATTTTTTATTAAATATCAGTCTACAGTTTATACGAATTACACCCACCAATTGTAATTTATCAAGGCAGTCTAGAAAGCAGTTTTTGTTTTTTTTAACGCAGACTTGGCATGCCTTTTTGATAGTAGCTCTATGTTCCCTCCCTCCACCTGTTTTTCAGGAAGTAGCCTCTGAGAGGAAATGTGTTGAAATGCCACAACCGGCTCCGAGCTGGGAGTCAGAGGTCACTACAGCTAATGCTTCTTATGTCCAGACACCTCCTAGGAAGAGAGAGTACAGCGAGAGAGAGGGAGGTGGCAGCGTGTTTGCAGTCATACCACTCCCTGAGCGGTGATTGTAAAGATGAGTGACCTGTCTCCCCCATCTCTCCTCTCCCCCCTCTTCTTCCTCTCTCCCCCTGCACTTTATTTATTAATGGATCCATTCAATTATTTACTTCACATCTTAGGGCGACAACAGGCCAGAGCACATTACACAGGGTGGAGATGATACAGCAGACAGCACTGCTCAGGTACTTGGTGGAGTTAATTGGCTGGTGGGATATACATCCAGCATGTAGTGGTGAATAGAACATGTATCTTTATAGTTAAGTATTAACCAAAAGCATTTGATTTGGAATTTCTAAATTTTATCTAATTTAATTTTAAAAAACTCATTAATTTGATTAATCATTTAGTCTATTAAATGTCTGGAATGTTGTTGACTGAGCAGCCACAACTGTAGAGATATTATATGTTGATGATATGAAACACAAAACTTTACCAAACTCCTTTTTTTGTTGTGCCAAACAACAATGTTAGCTAATGTTTCTCTAAATTACTAGAATGATTGTACAACTAGAATCTACAAACAAGGCGTCTACATACTTAACATAAAATGCACTGTAATATATTGAAATTCCAAAATGTATATAAAATAGTTATAATTAGATTCCCCTCTGCTCTAGTAGAATGCTACTAACACATTAATGCATCAGAAATGATAATCCAATAATATAATTGTTGCTACTTACTAAAAAAAGTTGTTTGCATTGTGTGTACTTTTACTATACTTAAATAATACTTAATAATACATCATATGTTTCCTTAGGTGAATTTGCCTGCAATATAAGTGGCTGTACTGAATTGCTGCTTTAACTTATTTGGATTTTCAGTGACAGCCGGCAGTGCTTAAACAGCAGCAGGCGCCTTTGACATGTCCTGATGAAATACGGTCTGTATACCTTTAAAAGTGTGCGGGGTGGGGGGACATTATAACGTCCTGTTTGCAGTAGAGGTTGATGGTTCAAACGTATCATTGACCGCTCGGTGTCTGCTCTTATCTTATCCCCCTGCCCTTATCCCTGCAGTGGCCAGACATGGATCAATCCCACCCGGAATTGGGTTTCACATCCCGGAAGCAGAGATGTACACATGGGTCACTTTCATCGACTCTCTGCGGCCATGGCCATAGGTATCCATCATACAGACCATTGACTGGTTGTGACCATGAAGGTACAGATTCATCACGGAGAGAGGCTGCGGTGGACGAGGTCAGCGGAAAGCAGCGACTGCTTCTCGTCTGCAACCATGTGGAAATGGAGCCTTTTGAGATATTTTCAAAATGATGACGTAATTACAGTATAACATGCAGTTAGAAGAAAAAGTTACTGATGAGCATTTATGTGGACATTTATATTTTATGATATGGACAAATTTCCCAACTCAAAATGAAGTATGCAAAACAAAATATTAAATAACACATTTTAATCAAAGTACATGTCAGTGTGTCTTTTTGTTTATATGCATGCGTATCTTTGTGAACAGAAGCATTTTAATGGCCACTGACTGATAGAAAATAGATTTGTGTCCGCCTGTTTAACTTTGCCAATCTGTGTTTTAGTCTAAGAATGATGTGATTGTTAGTTTGTAATTTTTTAAGATTGTGCGTCTGTTGGTGTATTTGTGTGTGTGTAACAGGCTGAGGATAAATAACGCAGTGATGTCGTCTTGATCTGAACTCCACACAGGGCTGGGCTTGGCTGAGGATTGAAGGAGAGAAGATGAAGGGAAGGATGATGGAGAGCTGGATGAGGGAGAGACGAGGAAAAGAAGATGGTGAAGATTGATTTTCATTGACTTGGTTCCAGCGCACTGACAACTGTGAGATTCCAATAACCAGCCTGAAACACGTGCATACACACTGCAGAGATATGGTGAATAGTTGGGAAATATTAGCAAATGTTTTCAACTGCGAAGGAGTCTAATAACACTTGAGAATAGAAAATAAAACCCAGACAGACACTTGAGACTAATTAGAAAAATATTTATTTCATCCCCTATTCTCATTGTGTTAGCATCACTAAGTGAACACTAACATCCACTACACACACTCCAAAAAACCCTCCCAGTGTGTGTGTGTGTGTGTGTGTGTGTGTGTGTGTGTGTGTGTGTGTGTGTGTGTGTGTGTGTGTGTGTGTGTGTGTGTGTGTGTGTGTGTGTGTGTGTGTGTGTGTGACTGTGAACAATATAACTAATTGGAGTTTTATCTAAATGTAATTATATCAACACTATAACGCAGTAGGACTTTGAGCCGTATAGAAGCTGTTTGTTCATTTAAAATAACCATGAATAGAGGAAATGCAGTGGTATACGTACAAATCACCTTACACTCTTTAACAAATGATGCAAGATGCAATAGAGTGTTTCATAGTGTTTCAGGTCTGGATGTATAGAGCATGCAAGAAATGTTCACACACTTCAGAGGCTTTACAATACCTGCAGCAGGGCAGAGACTGATGCTCAGAGAGTTTACAAGCCGCTGACCTGCTGTAGCTAAGTGTATCTTGAAATCAACGTTGGGTCCAGAGCTGCCGTGCCGGGGCTCTTCTCATCACTGCTGCTGATGTGAGGAGCTGGAGGAGGAGGCTGGCAGAGCCGGCTGAATGCAGATAGGATCTCTGTGGGGGGGCGTGAATGTGCGATCGGAGACTAAAATCATTACAGCACGCCTGGTCACTGTGTCCTTGGCTCTTCCGCTGAGCTGATGCTGATGCTTTCCTCTATTTCCCGCTCTGCCTCTTTTTCCCCTACTTTTTGTGTCTCTCTCTTTTTCTCCCACTTACAATGTATCCAGCATTACACATCATGAGCTTTAAATAACGATTTCTCACAAATGTTTTATATACTTCCTGTAGGTAAAAATCCGTCCAAAAGTTGTTCTTCCTGCAACGTTTAATTTTGCACCTCTAATTCATGAAAGTCAGCAATGACGGAATGTGTGTTAATGTGGTCAATATGTATTGATGTATTAATCAGTTTGTCAATAAAAACAAATTAGGTTTCAAATGTTTTAAGTGGTATATGAATCTATTTCTTTGAGAGTGTAATCCTGATGGAGGCTTAAATTGAATTTGGACAGCTTTCTTTTTTACATTTGATAGAAATTATGGTTTGGTTATTTGTTCTTTTCTCTGGTATTTGCTTTCAGGCACTCACTTTTTGCTCTGGGACTCCAGCTGAGTGTCGACATGTTTGTTTAGTTCAGAATTATTGGAAGACAATAAGACACTGTACATAGTAGCCTACACAAAGCCCTGTTTCCTCTCCTGTGTGTTTGACTCGCTCCTCACACTGCTGATAATATGTAGAAGGTCAAAAGAATCCCCTACAGCAAATACAAAAAAGTAGGCCTAGTTTTTGTTATTTGGGGGTTATTATCATAACTGTAAATATAGTCCTTGTTCTCCTGGTTCACCCCAGCTGCACTCATGCCCCCAGGCTGCAGTGGCTGTCCAGAGAGAGAAAGAGGGAGAGAGAAAGAGAGGGAGGTAAACTTGACTTGCCTTCCTTGGGTCTCATTGGTTGATTCTCTGCTTAGCGGTTTTGTCCTTGAGAATGTGCAGACACGGGGCAGATAATGTTCTGACACCAGTAACTCTAGACCGGGACCAGATCAACACTTACTCCCTCCTGCTTCTTCTACTTCTCTGCTTCTAATGTCATACTATACCGGATATGCAGATTGAAGAACGCCAGTGTTTGTTATGTTTTGTGTTTTAATCACGAAGAAAATCTAATAGAAATGCATGGACTTATTAGAACTTATATGTGTGGCATATCTGCATGCAAGCATAATTAAAACAGGATACAGACTCCTGCAAACGTGTTGACACGTGGCAATCATAAATTCATTAACGTTAACCATAAACATATCTCTCCGCAGGCGCGCTCGAGGGGATTATTTTGAAGCTGAGGTCTGGCTCCGCGCATCACGAGACAGGGTTGGACTTTGTGAATTTAGACAAATTGTGAAACAACCAGTCAGATTGAACCTTTTAGTTAATTCAAAGCCATGCACGACTAACCCCCCAAATTATTGCACCACTTAATGTAAATCGGAGGTTTTCATCTCTTCTCCGGTATGTTGCAAGGTCAAATATCTCCTTTTACCGTGCGCTCTTGTAACGGCGGGGTTTCTGCAGAAGTCAGCATGCCAGCAGAGGCCAGCAGCATGTATAGGAATCTCCCTGCAGCGCCACATAAACGGCCAGACCCGGTGATCTAATCACAGGAGACCAGTGGGCTGTGGTCCAAAAATGTCCACATCATCCTCTAATCTGAAAATAAAGTAAAGGCTAAGGACAGGATATAGAGGTCAGTGAAAATAAGTTCTTAAAAGATAAAACAATGTTCCTGTCGCTCTGGCTTTAATTTAGTATTTTTTGCAGAAAGTGAGTGTTGCTCTGGCGCTACTTTCACTGCAGTGTGTGCTTTCTGATAACTTGTAAAATGCTGTTAATGCGACTCTAATCTTGTAATCATATCGCAAATCTTTTCAATAGCAGTAGAAAAAAAAGTCTGAGAGGTAATTATTGCCATTTCAATGACTTTAATAAGCAAAATAGGAAACAATTTCTTCCAAAAACAACCGAAAATAACACAAAACAGAAACCAGCCTGAATGGAACAGTTCAAATGTAAGTGTTTAACTATTATTTATACAAACAGGATTGAAAATTGATCCCCATCATCGCAAAGTACATGGAATAGGTGAAAACAAAACAACAACCCGCTGCTGCAGTTTCAATTCGATTTCAACACAGTTGAATCAGTAACAAACCAAAGATTGTTAAATGCATGACTTTTCAACAATAGTTTCAAATGCAAGCACCATGCTTATTCGATATGATCTGACAGTTTGTTAATTTAAATCATTAAAATAAAAACTTTAACTATGCATCTGGCCAGCAGAACCAGAATCATCAAATAATAATAAAACAGACATAAAACATTACATAACATAGACATTGTTTTCATTTTGAGAATTTGCACAACCTGAATCCCCTTTTTAACTGACCGGCAGGAAAAAAATCAGGAAAACATAGAACATTAATAGTTAAACTTTGTTTAAAAAAATGCTCGCGCTATCTAAATATTAACTCTACAAAAAACCCCTGACAAGTTGTTTTTACTTAATATTTTTACAAATATAAATCATCAATATTAGGCCGAGTGATAAAATGCTACAGGTGGCCGCCAATCGGAATGAGAGGTTTTGTTTGGGTTTGATGTGGTTCGTTAAAGAGTTAATATGAAAGGCAGAACAGCACTTTTCTGAATTAGTGGCACAACAACCACGATGAATTACAATGAGAGAGCATCAACCCACTTTGTATGTGCTAAACAGTATGTAGAAAACTTGTAACCTCGCCTTTATGCGCCTATTCTGTGCAATCTGGGTCCAATAATATTGTGACCACACGTTTGTCTCCCCAGCCTCGCAGAACATGTTTCCAAATATTACTTTTAAACTTTGCACGTAGGCCTGAGTTGAATAAAACACGATATAATATCATAGTATGTCTTCCTGGAGGGAGGTCCGCACAAACTTCAAAATGAAAACTGGCAAATCATCATCTAAAAGTGCACTTGACACACAGATGTTGTTGTATTTAAATGCCACATAAGGAAATGCACTCCTCTCAATCAATACCCCAAATTATGAAAAACAAAATCATAAAAAATAAATGAAATAAAAACACAAAGAAAGAAAGAAGTTCAAACCAGCCTCCTCAATCTTGTTGTGCAGTTTTTGCGGTTGCATAATATTTACAAGCCCAAAGAAACCCACACCATATGATACTGCACCGGCAGTCCTGCTGTTCTGTCCCCGCTGCATTTCTCTAAACCCCCCACACTATGGAGAAGCGCAGATCAAAAACATGCTCTTAATATACACGAGAAGATGAAAGTACAAAATAGAAATTATTACCGTACATGTCCAGCATGCAGGATTAATATTTAATGCAGATTTTTTGTTTCAATATATATTCGAATATAACCAAGCAGGCAATAAATCAATGAGATGTTGCATAAAATGTCACCTCGTGACGGGCTAGTAGACAGAAGTTAAATTTGCATAAAGTGGAGTCTTGCTTTTGGAGATTTTCTCAGATTACGGGCCCACTTGTCGAATGTGAGTCTCGTGTGTGTTGCAGGCTGCGAGGCCAGGCCTGCTTGTTGTTTCATAACAATGTCATCATTTTTGGAGAACAAAATTAGGAGACAACGGCCTCGACGCCATCCCACACTATTTACAGATTATTTCAAAGCTGTAGCCTCAAAGGAGGGAAAGAAATGTTCATCAGCCGATCCTCTTCTTTGAAGAAGAAAAAAAGTCTCTTCACTACAAGCAACTAATCTACAAAGATGCTGCGACTGATCAGACACTCTACGTTGCTCTTTGTATCTCAGTTGTGGATGGAGAGATGATTATATATGAGAATACTATTCGATGGATTATTCTTCTAATATGAATATAATTGTTACTGTTATTAGTATAATCATAAACAGTATGGGAGGTGTGGACTATGTTTCGTTTGTTCAGCCAGTCAGTCTTTTGTGGAGAAAGGAAAGTTGGGGAGGGGAAAGTTTGTTGTGAGGGGGTTCACAAGAAAAGGCTATGACAACTCACATGAAAAACTCTGGAGATGACGGGTTGTCACTGGTGGAGCCAGCCTTGCGAAACCCGTTATTGGCCCCTGACCCCGAGAGTTTCTCGCACTTGAGCTTGTAGGCGTCCCTCTCCCTCGCCAGCCGGCCGATCTCTGCCTTCAGCTGCTCCACCTGGTCGATCAGCTGGGTCTTCTCGATTTCCAGCACGTGCTTCTGCTGCACCCGCTTGTACCTGCAGGACTGAGCGTAGCCCCGGTTCTTCAGGGTCCTCCGCTTCTGCTTCAGGCGGATAACCTCGTCCTTGGTGAAGCCCCGTAGGTGTCTGTTGAGCTCCCTCACCGACATGGACACCAGCTGATCGTCGGAGAAGCGGTCCTCCACGTTGAGCCCGGAGCCGTGATGCCCCCCAGACTGGCTGAGGTGGCCGTGCGAATGGTGGTGATGGTGGTGGCGGTGGTGATGGAGCGACTGGAGGGAGTCTGGGGACTCCGGGGACGGGCTGTCGGGGTCCTGGCTGTGGTGAAGGTGATGCTGGCTGTGTGGGTGGCTGTGTCCGCCCGGGTGCCCGGACAGTTCATCGGTGTGGTGCGGGATGCCCCCCGGGCCATACTGGTGATGTTGCTGCTGGCCGTGGTGACTGTGGTGGTGATGCGGGCCCCTGTAACCCTCGAAGCCGCCTTGCTGCTGCAGCTGCTGTTGGACATGCGGAGGCGGAGGGTGACCGATCAGGGCCTCCACCGCGTCCTCCGGGGTCAGGCTGAGGGTCTGTGGGTCTATCTGCTGTTGGTACCCGCTGTTCGGCATCCAGTACAGCTCCTCTAGGTGGCTCTTCTGCTCTGTGGGGCTGAAGCTGGGCGAGGAGGGCACTGAGCTGCAGGGTGTACTGATGGGGGTGGACGACACCGAGCCTTGCGGTTGGAGACGGGTACACTGGCGAACCCCGTTGCGATCCAGCCCGGCCAGACCTTCCTTCTTCACGTCAAACTTCATCAGGTCAAAATCGTTTACATATTCCAGAGCCAGAGGGCTGCTGGGTAGCTCCGGGCCCATGCTCATCTCTGTACTCATGCTGCGACTCTTTTGCAGATTTGCAAAGGAACTTGCGAGCGTGACCAAAACAGATTTTTTTCAGCGCCTCTTCTTTCCTTTCTTGTTTCATGCAATAGTTCGTCTGGGTCCTCCACCGCTGTGCACAGACTTGCTGTAGCATGAAAAACCGTGCGATCGGTGGAAAAAAGGGAAAATGAAAAAAAAAGTAGTGGAGGAAAACTTTCACAGTAATGCTCTGCACACGGTTTGCGTCATATAGCCTACTTCTGTTGGGATAATCTGGCAGAGAGACCAGACGAGAGGTAGAAAGCAATGCGTCTCAGGGCAAAAGTAATACCTCAGTCCCTTCAGTAGAAGTGTAATAAAACTAGAAAAAAGATAAATAATAATAATAAAGGAAATACCACTGTTCGCTGATACGGGCACCAGTCCTCGTAGCGACTTCTTGGTTGTTAGTCCTTTTTTTCGCCAGGAAAAAATAATAGGAGCAAATAGGCAGAGTAAATAGGGCGTCTGATTTTCGCTGAGAAGCAGCTTTTCCAGCTCTGCACCGCAGAGATTTCAAGGCTCGCCTCTCACTTGCTCCCACTCAGTGGTATCCAGCAGACTGCGCTTGGAGGCAGCCTGCGCTTTATCCTTATAGCGCACCGTGACGTCGTGCTGAAAGGCTGGATCTGTAGCGCGCAGCTCTCCAATGGGAGCAGGACTCTGCGCTGAAATAGAGGAAGAGGAGGAGGAGGAAAAGAGGGGAGATGAGGGCGCACAATACAGTCTTGACAACTGCAGACAGTCAGCTGACCGACTTCCCTAAAAGCAGAAGGTGGGAGGAGAGGGAGAGAGAAATGCCTTCACTTCATGGACACGACTCCGGTGTAACGCACCTCTCCCTGTCTTATCTTGTGACAGTTTCAGATCTCAGTGAGAGCTATGTAAAAGAGGCTAAACTGCTGTTTGATATGAACATTATCTAATAGCACATACATGTTACGAAACTCGCTTAGAAAACATACGCTTTAAACTTAAAACCTTGACAGTTTGTATAACAATTGGTAATATGGAAAATCCTGGCATTCTGGTGATAACAATTCTACCAGTTGTTTGCAAACACATATTGACTTCTATCATTTTCCAGAAGAACATGTTTCTTAAAGAAACAAAAGACGATGCACATAATTCCCTTGATTTTGACAGAATGTTATTTTCAATGAAACAGCTCGAAACAGCAGAAAAACAGAAAAAGTGCCTTCTTTTACTTATTACAACGTATTTTTGTACAAGTGTACTTGTAATTTCACAAATGATCACACCATAAGTTAGACTTTGCTAGAAGATGCCAGAAGATAAGGTTGAGGTGCAGGTCACCAATTGTAACAGTTTTGAAAAGTTAAAATCTTGACCTTTCTTAACAACAAGGACACACACACGTTGTGTCTCTTAAAGTTGCAATCACAAACACATTGTCTTTCAGTCAGATTTTGAAGCTTAGACTTTATTAAAGCTCTAAATAAAACATCAACATAGCACTTTACAATTGTTGGCATTTGATATGTCAATATTGACTGTATTGTGTGTACCTTCCTGTTCTAAACTTCATAGATGTTTTAAATAATCCAGGCTACGATGGGACCACAGCACTCTGTGTATTCGTGTAACCCTGTGTTACAATCATTTTGGGTTAAGTGTATTTTTTTCTAGTGAAAGCAAAGTTGACTTTGTTCAGAGCCTGTTATTACTCCCGGATTCCCACATCAGGCTCCTCTTGGCTCGGACACTTTATTTTACACCGTGCAGCATCACAACAGGGGATCAGCAGAAAACAGGCTCAAGGCTGCCCCTGCGTGGGCAACACATGAACCGATGCTGCTGCTGACAAATATTTATTTTATTCTGCTCCTATTTCTTCTCTGCATTAATTGCTCATTTTAAAGGTCAGACCCGGCAATTATGACTGACAACATTTAATTTATGTCATTTGAGTTTCATAAACACGTATTGTCCCTTTGTTATTAATCTTGTTGACAGTCTAACAAGTAGTTAAGCCGAAATAGGAACATATGCTCAAGGATGTGCGCGTTATTATAGATTTGATTTGTATTTTAATAGCCGGACAAAAAAAGTAGTGTGAGCAATTGTCTCGCTTCCTTGCAAAAAGAAACTGCTTGTAAATGAATCAATTTGAAGGATCGATTGGATTATCATTTCGTTTCCACCTCATATCCACGGTTGAGTACAGCCGCGACCAGAGCGTATTGATCAGGCTGGATGTAAGAGGAGGCTGCCAAAGATGAGATCCGATAATGAAGGGCTTATTTGTTTGGTTTAAATCCTTAATCAGTTGGAGTTGTGCATCAGTAATGAACTCCGAATACAGTCATAAATCACATTCCTATGCTCGCTAATTTATCATAAAAGTATTTAATTTAAAGGATATTTTTGCTTTGAAAAGAGTTCGACTTAAAACATATTATACACAGCTATGAATTAAGAGATGGGTTCAAAATAAATGAAATCATAAAATTACATTCTTTAGTAATGTTAAAGACAATATTAACATTTACCTGAAGCATAAATGAGAGACTTGAAAAACGAATGATTACTTACCAAAATGTCATCGTTAATTATTATTAATGATAGTATCGTTATTGTTGTTGTTATTATTGCCATTATTACATTTAGTTTACATTATGTTTTAAGATTTTGGATTAATCTTAAAATATACAAAATGAGTAATTATCTTTAAAGTTAACAAAAGTGGACTTTACTGCAACCCTGAATATTTTGTTTTCCTCTTTTGATTTTTATCAAGAGAGGATTCATACTGAACCTTTCTAACATCTTATTATACCTATTTAGACAGTCACTACTTCTTATTTTTCAGCCTCAAATCGCCTGGATATCACCACATAGCCTACTGCTGCACTTAAATACAAATTGAATCCAATTTAACTGCACAATCAAAAGCGTGCAGGTAGCATTCAAGTGAGTCATCCTCTTTTTAATTCCCTTTAACTGCAGGCGAGCTTCTCAATTCTCAGCTCCAACTTCAGAAGTGCCCTGAGCGAGTCGTGCCGTGCCGAGTCTAGCTGCTCTAAAACCCCTTCCTGGCGAGGCCGACCCCACGGCAGCCCCATTAGGTCGTAATGCGCTCTAATATAGCCCGAGTCCACCGCCTAATAGATCCAGTCAGGCCTGCCGGCGGCTCTCCCCCTTCGGTGCTAACGGGCTGTAATGGAGAGACGAGATGTAAAAAAGCGTCCATGTCAGCAGCATATTGGTGGTTAATGATCTATTAAGTGATCCGTGTGCTTATGGACAGCGAAAAAAGTGTTGATGCTTGCTTATTCGCCCCTAATGAGAGTCCCATCCTACGGATTTTAGGAATGAATAACAGAAATTAAATCACCTTTATAATGATACTTTAACAGTTGACGCATGGAGGCTGCAGTGGCTGCAGAGCTTCCCACAGCTCACATCTCACACCTGCAACAGGCCCGCTGCATTCACAGGAGGCCCATGGTGCTGTCTATAGGAAGAGACATGATGCCCATCACTAATATGGATCTGTATTTTTCTCCAGGACCGATCTGTGCATGTGAAAGCCTGGATGCATTGCCAAGATCGCTTGGATCTGTGGGTGCTCAAACTTCGTCTGTATAGAAGGATGCAGGGACAATGAGGAATACTTTTTTACAGTCAGAAGCAGACTCTGTGTCTAACTCTGAGGTAAACAGTTGTTTTTATTTGCTCTTTTGACCGCTTGGCGTGCGTAATGATTAACTCTGTCTCTAATGGTCCCCCCGACCATTCCTGGAAATGTTATCGGAGAGTATCCGATTTGGAAGGCCCCTGACAGGGAGAGTGAGGGGTGGAGATGGAGAGACGGTGCTTTCGGAAGTGTTGCTTTGATGAGCTTTGACGCAGGAGGGGAGAAAGAGAAGCGCAGAGCTCGTGCAGCCACAGCTTCAACGCCAAACGTTTTACCCGTAACCGCTTTCATTATGCAGCAACGACAGACTTTAAAATGTATTTTAGGTTTTAATTTGGAGAAGTTATAAATGTAAATGTAAACGTTCAGTTGTTCCTCTATATGCGATTTACAGCTTCCTTATGATCAATGTTATTTTGTTAACAAAAACCACCGAAATCTGTCGAAAAATGTCACGATGCCAATTCACAATTATTTAAAATGGCAGTTGAGTGTATATGTTCACTTACGAACTCAAATGTTTGACCTACAACTTATTAAAAACATATTTGTAATACTTTAACTGTATTATTCAGTTTCACACCCTGAATCCAGTGTAAACAGGTGGCTCCATTAATTAACTTAGTACTTTGTGTTTTTGCATGAGATAATGATACCAGTGGTTATGCGCAAACACAATCCTTCACGTGATTTATATTGCATCACTAATTTAATGTCTTCCATTTACAGTTACTCTGGCATTCTTGTTTACTTCAGACCAATCGATTATCTCTGTGAAAACATGTATTATTAAGACGTGTCGTCTGTGTAAACAGGCAGAGGCCAGCCACTGCAGAAAGCTCACATCCCCATCAGCGATAATTGACTGAGGAGTCTTTCAGGAAAACAAGAGGTGAGATAAGTGCAAAAACTGGCAATCTCATTAATATGAAAAAGTATCGATTTAACAGTGAACATCAATTGTTTATCTGTCTGCAAAATCACTCTGCAAGCTGTCTGCCTCGGTCTTCTTTTGAAAAACATAATTCTTCACCGGTGTTATCAGAGGAGACACACACTCACTATTTACTCGGTGAGAAGGTAGTTGTGTTTGCAGGGGAAATTAGATCTTATTCCTTGTGACAGGGCGCCTCTGGTGGCGCATTTACTCATTGCTAATAGTTTGATGTCTATCATCGATGACATACAGTCTTTTTTTACACTTTCTCCATTTAGACTGTTCCAACTTCAGAACTCAGTCTTTTTTTAAATGACAGAGAGGATATACAAATGTGATGTTGAGGCCAAGGCATAATTGTAGGCCTTTTCTGAGATTAGATGTCTCTGATTGACATGTTGTAAATATAACAACAAATAAATGTCAGTACGCACTGTACTGGCTTAAACCCAAAAGAAAAAACAATAAATCTGCCTTTTGCTGTGGTCATTTCATTAATGTAAATTGCAATGCTATGTACAATAGTTTGGCTTCCTTCCAGCTGGCTCTTTGCTGAGGTTTATGTATAACATTGGGTCTAATCATAAACTGGGGCTGTGTAACCACAAAATGTAGGCGACACCACAAGAACCAAATATCAGAGTGCAAGCATAACATAATTAAAGCCCATATTCTCTGGTCGTAACCACAATTGACATCTGTATTTTTGGGCCAATAACACAACTTAACTCATGATGTATTAAAAATACATAATTATGATAATGTATTTTTATGAGGAGAACCTGTTTCTTGTAAATATAGTTGGCATATGCCTTAGGTTGCCCATACAATTGTCTCTATTCTTTATGTTTTATTTTTGCTTTGCACAGAATCAGTGTTTTCTCTTAAACTCTGTCGGGGATTAACATGTCAGTGTTAAGGAGCGTCCTTTGTTCATGGCCCTCTATAATTGTCTGCATATTGAGCTGTCAGACAATATCTCTGGCTCATATTAAACTCCCAGTTCATATATTATTCTGGAAAATGCACGTCATATATAATGGAGTACAAAGAACACCAGTGTGTTATTA